ATCCTAATGCATTCCATCTAGAAAGGCACCTTACTTCAGTGACACAAAGATTCTGGTGGCTGGAGTATAAATCATTATAAAATAGTAGTTGGTTATTAGCGAAGCATTTTAACGTTGCTGTGTTGGTGGAGACCACAGGGGTCAGGTCGAAGTGCCGACGCTCTATAATGAGAACCAAATACTGCCTTACCACAATTGTTTTAGATAATTCAGTCCCTTTTCGTAGAGACAATGTCTCAATCTCTTCTTAAAGCCGTGGGTGTTGTTCTACTCCGCAGACTAACATTAGCGTGACGGCAGGTGATTTAATTGGTAGACAGCAGGAAGAGTTGTTCATCACGCTGCAGACATTGCCATCCCCATCATCACCTCTTCCACCCCCAATTTTTCTCTTAAAGCGTTAACATCACTCACATGTGTCAGCATCAGAATGCAGTAGAGCTGGGTGTCTATCAATGTTGCCCAGTGCAACTTCTCCTTTGCAGCCAGTCGGCGTCGGTTCTTCCCAAGTGAATACTTCACTCGGATTAACTATTCATCATTTTGCATGGAACAAATATGTAGCTGAATGGTATGTATGCACGGACGATGATGTGCGTGCATGAGTGTGCGTGTGCATTCATATCATCTGCTCATCCTCCTCCTACTTCAAAACTCAGCCTTCTAGTCCACCAGATAAACAGATCCATTCTGGGTCAAGTGAGACCTCCTTTGATCGTTGGCTAATTCATCGTTGGCGTATTTGACTCTAATCTCTTCACTTTCATCAACCCACTCAGCCTCACGCTTACCCGCAATCCCACTTATTTCGCTGTTCTTGTCTCTCCTTCAGTTGGAAGTAGACACCTAGTGGTGGAAGCAGAACAGACCCTAAACGCTAATCAGACATTTGACCCAAGGTACAACTTCGGAGAAGTCGAAGTTGAGGACTGGCCAAGTTGACAATGTGATGTACAAAAATAGCACACAGCCAAACGTCAGATGGAGGCGATTCGTCTCTCGTATCGCCAAACTCGCGTGTCACATCTGCAGACACGTATGAGGGAGATGCGTCAAACGGAGCGGTATAATGCAAGAGTCAACTCTTGAG